ATCCCCGTAAAACAATTGGGTGATGCGCAAGTTGTCTTTTTTATGATCATCTGCTGAGCAGAGAACGTCAGACACCTGATGACGTGAACTGGAATCTGAAGCCATTCCTCCACCTGTTCCTGGTTATGACAGGGGAATCTAGCCGTACTCTGATCTGACGTCTAATATGTCAGATATGTGCTCGATGACATATCTGGTGATACGGATGGATAAGCTGTTGACATTGTTCGGCTGAAAAGAATGTCTTGCATGATAGGGGTTGTGTGTGGTCGGTTGTTATCTTCCTGGAACAAAATCTAGGGGTTCTACTGGAGGAAACAGCACAACGGTGCGAAGATCATTCTAGCTGTACCGTTAAGCATTGAGATTGACGTCAAACAGAACAGGATTCGTTATCATTCGACCGCAGATCCAGCCCCAAACCCTTCAATGCCACTCCCAAATGGTTCGATGTACTTAACGCAACAATTAACGTGTCGTATGTTACACCCTGAAGAGTTGGAATCGACTCTCGTCTGAAAACAGTTGTAGCTGCCAGTTGCCATTCTTCCAAACTGTTGTATTGTTAGAGAAAAGAATGCATGTCAACTTCTTAATTATGAGGAACACAACGTTGCGGAGTATATGCTTACTCTCCATCAGGTGAATGAATGTCGTCATTGTTGTTGCATTAAGTATTTAAAAGGTCGCCTTCTGCCTAAGTTATTTCGGCTGACCTGTCCCTCTTTGGGACTCCTGTGTGTGAGTAGGGTACACATATCTATTGTGAGTTTGGTATTCACATAATTTCTGTTCTTGTATTGATATGATTTCTATTTTCTATGGGGGAAACCACCAAAGTCCTGTCTACCAACAACAACAACTGGCGACAAAGGAAACTACAAGAAGCCATTGACATCAGGAGACACCAGCCAGCCATGAACCGTGACCAGGGAACATACCTGCCTAGTACTTTGGACTTATTGCTTTGAACTTTGTCCGGGCTAATTGCCTAGCTGGCTTAAACGTGCCCTTGCTATGTTCATTATTACACCTATCCGTGCTAATTTACCCCCACCCATTCCCACACCCAATCCCCACCAATGAAGGGGTAAGCATATACTCCGAAACGTTGTGTTCCTCATAATAAAGAAGTTGACATCCATATATTCTCTTCCTTATGCCTTTCAAAGACCTGTTGTATTGTTTTTACCCATTTCATAACTATTGATGTTGCCTGCGTTTGGGAGATTAGTATACTAGTTCACTTGAAGAGCAGGAGAGTTCACGAGAATGTCTTTCATTTTCTCCAAAGCAGACTGACAATTGCTGTCCTAAACAAATTTCACCTTTTTGCCCATCAAATAAGTGAGAGCGGCTACCACATGTGAGACATTTTGACAATACCCAGAAATATCATAAGTTCCTTTTCATTTTGTGGAACTTGGAATTTTGAAATAGCTTCCACCTTTGCTTGTACGGACTGCACCTGACCTTGGTCTATGACATGGCCTAACATGGCATCCATGTTAGCTGACACTTCAGAAGTGTTTGGCTTAGGGCTAGCATAGTCAGCAATGCCATCAACTTTACAGTGTCAGTGAGTATGGTTTTACGCCGCTTTTAGCAATATTCCAGCAATATCACGGCTGTCAACTTTACAAAGTCTCAATTCTCAATAGTATCGCACAATCCACAGGTGAAACAGTGGCAACACACTGATTAGGTACATTGTCATTTCTTTAATGATACTTTCTAATCATACTGTCATGACAAAGCTGTGCCTGGTGTTTATACGACATAGTCAGGATCACTGACTTCTGTCAAAAACATACGGATCGTGGTATATAGATCGTTTATCGTAGCATTTAATGGTTGACCAGGGATTGGCAAAAACACAAACACATTTTCATACTGCCATGACTGAAATTGAGTCTTTTGTCATAATGTACTTTCATTTTGTCCTGGGATTCTTTCAAGTTATCCTTAGCAGCTTCACAAGCTCTTGAAAGCCTAGCCCAAAACTGACTGAGCTGACTCCCTCACAGCAAACAACGATAAATGAAAGCTTTCATCCCAATCCTGTCTAAAAACAGTAAGTCCTTATCATATTCTGAAGAGTCTGATGAAACCGCTCTTAAGTTCTTTGACATTCAGAATGATATGCACTAGACTTAATCTGAGTTATGCAAAACTGCATAGCCTGGCATAAAATAAGAGCCCTGATCTGACTGAATAGTCCTAGGCAAACTAACAATGGGGAAGAACTTCACCAATGCTGTAATTTTTCCTGAACACATTAGCCTCTAGAGATCTTGTGGAAGCACACATGATAGCATGTTCTCATTTCCTGACTTAGTTTTAGTCAAAGGACCAGCACAATCAATGATGAACTGCTGAAAGAAACCTCAAAAGCAGGAATTGGTTTCAAAGGTGAGACTGGGCTTTTCTCATTAGGTTTACAAACCATTTCGACTCACATGGCATGTTTTGCAAACTTCTACCACATCATGCCGCACATTTGGCAACAAGATTTTGTCACAAGTTTTGATTACGTGCAAATGGCTTGTCAAAGGAGCTTAATGTGCCAAAAACGAAACATCCATTCAACATGAACTTGGTGAGGTGAGGTGAAATGGGGTTTAACGTCGCGTCCAAGATTATTGCACTTATATGTGTGTGTGTGTGTGTGTGTGTGTGTGTGTGTGTGTGTGCTGTACACAGTATACTGACTCCAAGCCGACCAGTCCTTGTTTTAGCCCCTTAATGCCGAGCGCCAGACAAGGTAACAACCTGGAAGAACAATTTGATGGAAAAGCTTTCATTCATTATCGGCAGGTACATCTGGCGGTCTCCATTTCCTCATCAAAACGCTATCCTTGAAATAAAAGCAAACTGGAACCTTGTCAGTTTCTTCTAAAGAGAGTGCCTTGTTTGCACCTTGTTGGCCCCTTGTTGGGTCCTCCTCCAGTAACTTAACTAACTGCTCCTAAACAAGAACTGGTTTCTCAGCAGCCAAACCGTCAGAATTTTGAGTACTCTCAATCGAAAATTTAGACAGGTCAAGAGAATGATCAATAAAAGTGCTTGCCAAATTGTAACTGGAATTATTCTCAGAAGAACCCTTCTTAGCCACAGCGCGAGTAACAACACACAATGGAAAATACCTGGATTTTCTTTTCAAGATTTTCAGTACTTTCCAAATAACGAGGCACAAGACTAACAACAGAATAAGCCAAACATCCACCTCCTGCCAAATCATTCCTGATGAGCAAGTCTACACCTGTAACAGGAAGAGTTTCTAGAACCCCCACCTTGACCAACCCAGCACCAAATCTGTCTTCAAATTCTCAAAATGAAAATGTGCACTGGTAATAAAAAATAAACCCCCTAACTTCGCTCGATTAGTTACAGACCGCCGTCATATAGCTTGAATATTGCTGAGTGCGGCGTTCAACGACAAACAAACAAATCTAACTTCGCTAATGACACAGAAAGCGGCAAAATACCATCTAAATAAGAGTTTATAGAGCACCAGAACCCCTCAAAACGGTAAAGGGCTTAACATTGGCAGGTGGTTATGAATCACTATCAGATAGTTATGGTAAAAACGTGAGTTAATTGCTAACGTGAAAAGAACATGGGGACATTGGTATAAGTCAAAAGAGGGAATTGCATTGGACTTTATTTTTGTCACTCATGCGTCCACGTGTCTACCATAAAATGCTTTGAAACCTTTACTGCGTCCTTGTAACCTTGATGGAACAACGTTTGAGCAAGAGTCGTTGAAAGAGCATGCTCGATTATACCTCACACGCTGTAAAATATAGACACCAAAGGCTTAAGCTTCTGGAATATTGCTTTAATGGACACGTTGGCCATTGGAAAGTTGAAGTCATCTCTCTGGTCATACAGTCTTGTGGAGAGTGTTTTGTTACTCTGAATCTTTATGCGTAGATCTAAATGTAAAACGTCATGGCCAAATTACTTTTTTTTGAAATTTTGATTTTTTTTTATGCATAAAGAAACAGATCAGCAAGACGGGGAGCACAGTTGATGCCCATGGGATGCCCTGAATGTCTCACCCCAACTTACATAAATGTTATCAACGAGGAAGTCCAGCATTTCACTTTTTTTCTTGGCATTTGCAAAAGGCATTTACTTTCATTTTGACAAAATGCCCTGAACCTCTGAAGATAGATATGTAACTATATCTCTATCACATTAGGGGCGGTCGGGTAGCCTAGTCGTTAAGCGGTCGCTTGTCACGTCGAGGACCCTGGTTCGATTCCCAACATTGGTACAATGTTTGAAGTCCATTGCTAGCGTCCCCCGCCGTGATATTGCTGGAATATTGCTGAAAGCGGCATAAAACCATACTCACTCACCCACTCACTATCACATTAAGTAACAAATGCCCAATGGATCAAGGAATGAAGGGTTTATCGTGTGGGTGAGTGGTGTACACAGTTGAAAATTATAATGTTTTGACGAAATTAAACTTCTTTTCTGAGATTACACAAATTCGAGCAATTGCTTGGAGCTTTTCTAGAATCTACATGGTAATATTCCGCTTCTCTCAAATACTCTCTGTGAAGTTAAAGAAAGTCCCTCCTTGATTGTTTTACGAATTAAGGTTACTCATTGAGAAAGGGATTCGGTTCGGTGGTACTTTTGTTGGAATAGCAATATATATCTCTCTTTGTGTGGATGTTAATGGAGCTATTATAGAGTCAAAAGTTGATACTGATTTCTTCCCAAGTTAACATACTGGCCTTGTCTTGGGCATTATTTGATACGACACGTATTCTTTGTCACAAGGTTCTGTGATGAAACAATAATGGAGTGATGCTTACATATAATGGTTATGGTATTTGAGGCCTTGCCGAGGAATATCTACAAGCATTTCATGTATGGCATTTCATGTATGACGTTACATCAGTAGCTGCTACGCCCTGCAACACGTCCCTATTATAAAACAACTTGGACTCACAAGGTGAACAGCATAACGGACGCAACCGTAACGGTCCAGAAATGTTTATTCTATGTATATATTACATAAGCATTATTATAACGAGAAGTAGAAAAATAAGAAATTGTCCAGTGTCACAGAAAGGGAGCCGTGATGAACATTAGCTCACTTGAATACCTTTCTTCTTTTTGAATACTTGTATTTGAACAGGACAAAAGGTCAATGCTTTGAGAATAAGGATACAATAAAATTATAAACGGTTATATATGCATATATTTGGAGGTCCAGTAAATGTGTATATGTTCAGACATATATGTTAATTACATGCACGATTTGATAGGCGATTATGTTTCATGATCACATCAGGGGTATATGGGGAAGTTGTTTCACACAGTACTTCATATCTAAGACTAGCCGTTTTGGTGAATTGAATTGTCAATTGAATATGTAACCATTAAGATGGTCACCACTTAAAAAAACAAGGAAATTTACATTTACCCCACTCTGCCTACATATGTATACATTAATATACTAATGCATGTCTAAATCACATATAAGTCGCCTCCTTGCTGAAACATATGTATCGTTTAATGACAAAAGAGATCAGTGTTTTGAATTGCGAACTGTTATCCACAAACAGACAGCGCTATTTCTTACATGAATTAAAGTTGTGCGTGGTAACAAGTGTCAATAACCAATGCTATAACCATAAAGAAATAAGTGTATACAAGTTTCACCAGGCGTCGTGACCATTTGTGCCTCAAGAATGTATAAGATGTCACGTGTTGTACTATTAAGGAGTGGTATTTACCCTAATACTTGGTAAAACATTTAGATTGAATATTTCACACACGAAAGCAGGAGAGAATTGGATTTGATACCATTCTGGAAATTGATTTAATGTTTCATTATCTCTACTCATAGGCATGGTGGCTAAGTTATTTTGTCAGAACAAAAGTACTTGATTCAAAAATATTTTCTTTCAAGATTTTAAATGGTCACTAGTATATCACTACATAATGTTTCAACATCCATAATACTAGAACAGTAGGTGACATCTTACATTAGACAGTAAATTAAGATTTTACCATCAGAATTTGCTTCTCATGCTTCTCTTGAATACCACCATCTTTAAATGGTATTTAGAAGTGATACCAAGAAGGGACAGAATGTAAGGATGTCAACTTCTTTATTATGAGGAACACAATGTTTCAGAGTGTATACTTACTCCTTCGCCAGGACAATGGGTAAGTATATCCTCCGAAAAGTTGTGTTCCTCATAATAAAGAAGTTGCTTTCCAAAAATCCTCTCTCTCATATAAAACGATACAAGTAAAACACAAATCGACAGGCATATAAATGACAACTGACAACAATTTGAATACATTGAATCCTAAAACATTTTCTTCGACATTTAACAATGGCTAGCTAACCAAGGTCGATACATTGACATAAATTGGTCTCCTGACCTTTCGATAAAATAAACTTATTCAAAGCTAGTGCATGAGGTTCTCATCCTTTCTTTGAATCGGTGAAATCCAATTACTAATGCTAATTTCGGGGCAGGGGTTCAATACAAATAACCCCAAAGACTGTAAACACAATAAAACCAATGTGTCCCGGTGAGGTAAAATGGAGACGAATACTTATCAAATAGACACAGACTTGAACTGGGACCAAAACCTGGCTGTACCGTGACAGTACTCAAAAAAACGCGTATGTCAAGTTACAAGATGCAAAAGTGGTTCCATTGATTTTCTAGTACCGTCGTTAACGGGGGCTTGTCCTTGACAGAGAGTCAATCCTGACAATTTCTTTTTTTGTACTTATATTAAAAGAGTATCTTATTAGTACTGATACAACATCCAGACCTAGACTGAAATGGGTGTTGAGAATAGCCTCCCTATAACTCTCAAATACTACAACAACCACTGATGGAAGAAACTGATTTTGTGATACAACGTACACACATACAAGAGGCTTCAAAATCCAAAGAAAAACACACCACAGACATTAGTGAAATCGCAACTGGGACCGCAACAGCATTACATGTTGCCACACGCTTTTAAAGATGTCCGAGTTCTGTCCGAGACGTGTGACACAGCATGCCTTTCACGGTTCAACAATGACGGTTATGAAATTTTATAAATACTATAAATACATGAATATGTACATGTGGATACATTAAATCGGTGATCGTATGGACAGTTATTACTATGATTTTCAAAATTATAACTGTCTTTTCCATTTTTAAGTGAATCTCCCTTGCAATATGACACACATTTTAGCCGTGGTGTGTGGTTTGTTTATTGCATCAATATAATAACACCAGAATTTCCGTATTATATGACTGTAAAGTTGTGAACATATTCAGAAACGGTGCATTTGTGTAAACTAGCATCCTTTACGATCAACCCTATTTTTGGTTAGTACAGGGATCGTTTTCCCAGTCACTATATTTCACATACAGAATATACTGAACAACAACGGGGGATAACTCATTATACATGTATCAGAAACTTGCAACGGACACCAGGACATTTCTTAATGTGACATATTTAGAGAATATTGAGGGAATCAGTTTTGTACCTTTAAACACTGTCAGTAGTTCCCTTATAGATAATCCCTTATTCCGAGTTGCGAGTAGGTTATTTGTTATATTATCCATGGTCTTTTTTCTGAGAAAATATGGAAAAGTGTGTTTCCAGATCTCAAGTGCACATAATCTCAACTATTCTATTGTTGGAACAGCGTTCCATAAAATCGTCATCTTCGGTTATTTACGACAATGAGTCCATAAGACCATATGACAACGTCCTATGGGCCTCTTCGCTAAACATGAGAATGTGTTCTTCCTCAGGTTATGATGCACTGTCTGTTGTTTTCATTCCCCATTGCAGATGCACTGCATTTTAGGGGAAAAAGACATTTCAGATGTAATACTTTTTGGCCCCCAGTACACATACAGCATCAGTGTACACACGCGTATCTTGACAAATGTACAGACATAAATAAATATATTTACTCATTGACCTGTCTTCAAATTTCTGCAAAATTCGGGTGTGACTATTGAAAGAAACATGTATAATAACAAACACATATTGTCAAACGAACAAGGGACACAACGGTCGCTTTAAACAATTTACCCGAAACACGCTACATTTCTTGATTTTTATTTTTGAAATACTGCATAACAATATATGGCACATTGAGCGCATGCACTGAACATGATGAAAACCGTTGATGAAGATTTACTACCGAGATTCCCTATAAACAGATTACGTTATACTGCATAGGTTGGTGGTGAATTATGACGGCGAATATGAACTGCGCACGCAATACTTACAACCATACATATAAACAAGATGACGCATAGAACGATTAATACCCATGTTACAGTTCCATATGCTTCTGTCTTTATTTCAGGTGTTTTATTGCGCATCCGCGGAAGCAGTGAGTTCCAGAACGCCACCTTGCGGGGACGTAGTCTCTGGTCTGTTGTTATTGTCCCATTGCCTTCAACCCCGTTGATTTTCATGTAGGTTTGGTTGTAAGCGTCAAAAGCTTCGAAATCTATTTGATTATCTCCAGTAGTTAAGGATGGTTTCCTGTTCGTCATCAAACGAAATAAAACAGAATGTGTCATCATTGATTACCAACTGACTCAATCAAACACATCAATAATAATGATAATAATAATTATAATAATAACGTCATCCATCAGCTTTCACTGATCGAAACTATGCTAGAAGTGTGAGTGAGTGAGTGAGTTGGGTTTAACGCCGCTTTTAACAGTATTCCAGTTATATCACGGCGTGTCAGCTTAATGTGGGAGGAAAGCCCGAAGTGATGCAGGTCTCAGACGTTTACCACTTCGGTGAAACCCACGAGCACGGGTATGGTGCTGACAAACCTAGAAACATAATTGGGGCGAACCGGGATTCGAACCCACAATCATAGGTTTCTGGCGTGCCCAAGGGACGCAACTCTGCACAGCGAATCGCGGCGCCTTAGACGACTGGGCCACCCGTGCCCCCTAGAAGTGTGAGTCTGTTGGGTTTCACGCCTCTTAAAACAGCACTCCAGTTATATCACGCGTGTCAACTTACTGCTTGTTTTGTTTGTCTGTTGTTTAACGCCGCACTCAGCAATATTCCAGCTATATGACAGCGGTCTGTAAATACTCGAATCTGGAGCAGACAATCAAGTGGTTGACATCATTAGCATCGATCATCGCAACTGGGATACGATAAAATGCTTCAACCAAGTCAGTGAGTCTGACCACCCGATCCCGTTAGTCACCTCCTATGACAAGCATGGTCGCCTTTTACGGCAAGCATAGGTTGCTGAAGACCTATTCTACCCAGGATCTTCACGGGTCTGTCAACTTCCTGGCGGAGGAAAGCCCGAAGGGATACATCGCTCAGACGTTTACGACTTTGATGAAACCAACGAGCCCGCGCATGGTGCTGACAAACACAGAAACATAATCGGGACGACCCGGGACTCGAGCCCACGATCATTCGTTTCACTACTAGGTCATCCGTGCCCCCAACTAGACTCCAAAGCAACATTACCCGATTATGAATCTAAAATACAAAAGAATGAATTTTTTCTCAGAAATAATTGAAGTCGAAACTTGTCTTGGGGAGTTATTGAAATGGCTAGCACATAAAGACATGTTTCGTCCGTTTTCCCCCAATTAATTGAGAAATGTCATTTAACTTAAGCAAGGATATGCCTGTTAAAATCTATCTTCAAAAGATGAGGAAATCGACATATACTCACCCATTTTTCACGAAATTGCTCCACATGTTGATGAGGACTTTGCTTACTTGCCTGTCTTCTTCAGTGTAAACGTACAGCGGGTGTCCTGTATAAGGGTAGCCAAACAGGTAGAACTGGTCACGTCCATGGGGAACCCCTGCAACATACATGTAGCAACTTTCTGTTTGAAACGGACCGGTGGATATTCTGGAGAGGGGACTGCCATTTTCCTTTCAATCAATTAGCTGTTGCTTTTGTCCTTTCACAGACCAATTATATCGTGTACTGGGCATTCTGAAACTATTGTACAGTGCGTAACAAATAAATTGTTTCACATTGCCTCAAACCTTCAGATAAAATTGTATCTGTTCAAGCGCTGATTGTAGAGATATTATTCTGTATCAAACAAAACACCCAACCAGCCAAAGTTGTCGGACTTTCATTTTTGTGGAAGTATCGGTGGCTGAGTGGGTTAGATCGCTGACTTTGTGCGCTGGCGATGAGGTGCCTCACTCTGGTAGTGTGGGTTCGAATCCCGGACAAGACTCAACCCACAAAAGTACGAGAATTTGTACTTTACTCAGAAAGAGTAATCCCAAATATAACATTTGTTACATTTGACCACTTTCTAAATGGCGTTGTGTGTTCATAATATCTTTTATGACGTACGCGTTATCAAACGATGAGATGTATCTGTAGTAAGGTTTTCTTGCTAAACAATACCAATTTGTAAGCACAATAGTCATGCAAACCTGTTTGAAAATACTATTATCACACTGCATGCTGAAGACATGCATAAGCACGATGATACCATGACAAGCATCAACAAAGTCAGCGAGCCTTAACACCCGATGCCGTTAGTCGCCTCTTACGACAAGCATGGGTTTTTGAAGATCAATTCTAACTGGAATCTTCACGGGTCAATGAAAAGTATTGACGTGGATATAGTTTTCTCTTCATGGCAAATCCCCGTGGTGAAGGAATCACACATGCGCGCGCTCTCTCACACACACACACACACACACACACACACACACACACACACACACACCTTTGGCACGCACGTACGCACACACTGCTCATTTTGATATTTACCGTCAATTGTTCACCTGAAAAACACGTGAACATATGGCAAAAGATAAAATAGGGATTTCCATCGGTCATCGTTTTGGTCACTGAGGCCTTGAATGTTGTAACCCTGACCAATAAACTTTTGAGAAAGAGTCACGTGACGCTCTTTGAAATCCTGGTGAAAAGAGTATACTCGATTGTATCTCAATAGTGATGACATGTCTGAGGTTGCTGACTATCACTTGACATAAAATTAACTACAGGAAATGTGGAGTCACCCCTCTTGTCGTACAGTCTTGGGGGGAGTGTTTTGAATCTTAATGCAGAGATCAAACAAATGAGGCGGTCTCGCTGGTCGCCTTTATTTCTAGATCCGGGGTAGAATAGGTCTACAGCAACCGATGCTTGCCGTAAAAGGCGACTATGCTTGTCGTAAGAGGCGACAAACGGGATCGGTTGGTCAGGCTCATTGACTTGGTTGATGCATGTCATCGATCCCAATTGCGTGGATCGATGCTCATGACATCAATCACTAGATTGTCTGGTCCAGACTCGATTATGTACAGACCGCCGACATATAGCTGGAATATTGCTGAGTGCGGCGTAAAACAACACACCAACCAACCTTTATTTCTAGTTCGGGTGGGTAAATCAGTGGAAGGATTTCTATTTGACAGTTATTAAACGACATTAGATCATCGATATATCTGAAGCTGAAGTTAAACTTCTTGGGCAACGGCTTGTTGTGAATTTGCCGATCCGAGCAGAAATTCCGATTTTAATGCATAAAGAAACAGATCAGCAAGAAGGAGAGCACAATTGGTGCCCATGATACCTACATCTTGCCTAAATGTCTTACAAAAAAAGTTTACCAAGATGTTGTCAATGAGGAAGCACGGCAGTTCACATGTTGTATTCTCAGTACACCTCAGGGGCGGTCGGGTAGCCAAGTGGTTAAAGCGTTCGCTCGTCACGCCGAAGTCCCGGGTTCGATTCCCGACATGGGTACAATGTGTGAAGCTCATTTCTGATGTGCCACGCCGTGATATTGCTGGAATATTGCTAAAAGCGGCGTAAAACCATACTCACTCACTCAGTACACTTCTGATGGCATTTGCTTTAATTCTGACAAATTGACCTGAACCTCTGATCAATAATAGTTTTGTCGTGAGGGATAGTGGTGTACACAGTTGAAAAATCAAATGTTTTGACTGAATTAAAACCATTGTTTCTAGAATCGACATGATATTAATTCCACATTTTCTCAACAGACAGGTTTATTCAGTATTATGGCCATATGGCCTAAAGTACCATTGATACTAACTCATAATATGATGTCACGTGCATATACAGAAATTACATCTTCTTGAATCTGATAGAAAAAAGCCTGTCTATATAAGTAGCCACTGAAAAGATAACATGTTTATTTTGTGAGTAGATAATATTGATCATTAACATTTCAGATTTATAGTCATAATTCAAGAAGGGGAGGTATGTAGATCTTAACTTGGCATACTTGTTACACTTAAATAAGACAAGGAATTGCATTAAGTATTCTGGTTAATCTTTGAGATAGGGATTTGGTGGTACATTTGCGGGACCCAGACATAAATCATTCCTTGGATGGAATGTAATGGAGCTTTGCAATCCAGGTTGTCTTCAGGTTTTAGAGTGAAACCAAGTCAAGCATAGTTTTGGCAGATTTCTTCTTCTGTTAACACATTGGCCTTACATGTGAAACAATTTTATATGTCACTTATACCAAGGTATCAAACAATAAAGGTGGTGAAGCTTACATATAATGGTTATGATATTAATAAATATTCTTTGTATGTCTGATTTTTCTCTTGCATGGATATCTCAAGATGTTGGAACTGATAAACTATTTATCTTCATGCTTAAGGAAAGATAAGTTGATATATTTTCACAAGATTGGCACTGTCAAATATCATCCTAAGGGTTTTTATGCCATTATACGAATATAAAATCTTTACTTGTTCCTGAAAAATATGTATCTGTACTTCAGGATAGAACTTTGAGAAGATCTTTGTGTAAATTACGTATATCATTACATAATTTTAATGTTAACAATCTCAGAAAGAAAAATGTACAAGATAAAGAAAGTAGTTTATGCCGTTATTGTAATGAAGGCTATGTTGAGGATGAGTTTCATGTACTTCTCATTTGTAAATATTATCAGTTTCTTAGAAATAGATACCTCCCTATGATTTCAACTATGTACAAAGATGAACAACTGATGAGAAATTTGTTGAACTCCTGCAATGCAAATACAATATCATCTCTGTCAATATTCCTGAAGAAGATTTTTGAAATTAGACGTTAATATTTTATGTAAACTTATTATTACCTACACGTGACTGTACAATGTTGATAAAAAAATTAAAAAAACACTACTGTACTATAGGTCATATGGCCTAAAATATTGAATAAACTTCTGTCTGTCTGTCTATGATATTTAAGGCTTTGTCAATGGAAGCAACTACGAACGTTTCATTTAGGGCTGTCTGACTTGACATGAATGAAAAATGGTCCTTAACTTTTGAAGATATAAATGAAACTATATCTATGGGCATCACGCACGCGTCTTGTGACAGATGCACCGTGACAAAAGACAACTTACCAAGCCACGATGGTTTCATTGATACTTGAGAGTGATACTCAAAAGAGTAAAAATATACGTTCTGTGTCCTCTGCGCTAGACGCTTCGCTACATCAATGGCGGGGGCAACAAAGGTAGAATCACCAACAACCTGTAGAAGGAGAACAATTTGACATACAGTAAACGACGTTTATAACGAACACGCTTATAACGAACTGACGGATATAACGAACTTATTTTGTCCTGACCATGTGCTGTATATATGGTGCAAATATGCTTATAACGAACTACGGTTATAACAAACTAAAATTAGTGATCCCTTCGAGTTCCTCAAAGTAGTTTACTGTATAGTTTTGTGAAAGCACAGTGGAAAAAAATAAACTTCAAACCAAACAATTCTCAATATCCACAGAATCATATTTCAGTCATCATGATGTGATCAATGTAACGATTGTATTAAAAATATCATATTGACGATAAAGAATAATTAATATGAAAATGCATTATATCATCATATGTTGTATGGGCGGAATAAACATACGTATGTTGTTAGTTAACTCGTAAACTATGGATCCCAATGTGAAAACTAAAAGAACTATCAGTAGTTCATATAACAGGTACCTGTGCTGTGGAATTCTACATTCTGATCCCTTTTAATGATGAGGATCCACAATTAAATAGGGAGTACACGCACAGGGACTATCTGATAATACTAATTCTCAAACTAAAATGAGTTTTTAAATTGAATATTGTGCTTTCATTAAAACAACAGATTTCTATAATTGACAGTATTTAAGAGCTTAGTTTGCGACAAACTCAGAGCGTGAAAATGTTGAGAATAACGTACAAACAACGAGAAATTACGGATTTGCAACGAAATTAGAGTACGGGTTATCCTATACTTCACGCGTCAATAGATGCTATGAACAAATAAGCCAGCAAAGATCGTTTTCTCAGCAAGACCTACTGAAAATATCTCCACAGCCTCGATATGTGTATCACAAAAACATGTGACAATAGCAGCATCCCTCAAGAGTCCGTCCATACAGTTAGTTTACAAAGGTCCAAATACTTACATCAGAGAGTCCGATGATATTAGCCGTCTTATTGTCAGGATCTTTCCATGGTTTATATTCGTGGACAACAAGGTCTGCGAGAAATATGGGTGACATCAGTGTGCGGTACATCAATGGTTACTTCAAAGTAAGACGAATACATCTGGCATATATTCAATCGACCAATTGGTCAGTGCCAGCAATAAACGCCAACATACACATAGCTTCACATTCCATATAGCAAATATATCTATACATTTACTGAAACATTTTAAGAAACTACATTCACTTGTGGGTAATGAGCATTTCTATATATGAAACGGTTACTTTACCTACGGGGGAAAGAATGATACATGGAATTTAAACGTAAGTGGGACGATCATATCAGAAAAGAGGAATGTTCACACACTGACGTTGACGGTTCTTAAATACCGTTATTGTGAGACGGTATCTCGAAAAGGAAATTCTTTGGCTAACCGTTTAGCCGCATCTGTGCCCCTGTATCAAACATTTTGCCGCCTTGCCCAACCATACACCACAGACGACTGCCCCAAACCCTCATCCCGCCAACTGCTCTCGCAGACATACATATAAACTTTGAATACCTTACTGTTAAGTCTCGACCATCAGCCGTTATATGTCATCCTCCATATTCGATATTGTAACGTAAAATATAACATGTAACAAGGTATAACAATAATTGACATGTCTTAAGCATCTTCACATTTGTGCATTTTTTAATTATTCATTTCCTCAAATACGAAAAACATCTAGGAACCTGTTAGCTGAGCGATGTCAGCTTTAATATACTTTAGGGTGGGTTTACACCAATCTCTGTTATGCTTGCTTTGTTATATCTGGGATACCATGCTTTCTTTGTGTTTCTAGGGGCTGAATTCAGCTTTACATTTACGTGATAGTGGAATCAATAACAAAAGGTTGGATGAAAAGCCAGTCTTTGGTCAGAGTCAACCATACTATCCTCACACGTTAAAAACGTAGGATTATCCACATAATATGTACATTGTTTGTCGTGTCATGTGTAAATGCACCTACAGGCTAAGACACATCAATTGTGACGTGCAAAAAGAAAACCGGAAGTAACTGTATGGTGACAATGTGTGAAAAGAAAACTTTAACATAAGGTGAAAATTGCCAGTGTTGTGGTACAGAGAATTGCAAAGGTGTTAAACCGACAAGACGTTTCCATCACCCTTTTCCTAATGACATCGTATTCAATTTATTTGAGCAATTTACTGACGAAACCAAAGGGATAACAGAACAATATTTGAATCTTTTGTACAGTGAACTGTTTTCATCACACTCTTTTTACTAAATGTTTCGTGATTACATGATCATTATAGGACATCAAAGTGCGGAGTGTTCCAATACGTCAGTGTATCATCTAGGCAGAATGTATTTGTACTAATATTATATTTGCTTCCTAAATTATCATAAAAAATGAAAACGAACAAGAAACAAACATATATACGGTGATTGACAATTACAACACTTCAACAGGAGCGGAGTCAGATAGGTTGTAGAATTAAACTGGTGGGTTCTTATTCTTTTGATTTCCAAATTCTAATATTAAATCCATGATGTATTTTCCTTTTGATAAATGTTTGATACGTACATTGAATGGGGTTTTTTCTGATGACGTGGAAATATTTTTATAAATGTAAAATCTGCGGCCCACTTTTCTGAATCCGCTCATATATTCAGAAGGACTTTTGATGCAAAATAAACATGTATTTAATTAACAGTTTGTCAAGATGCAACAAGAACCAATTTGACAAATAATTCAAAACCAATCATATTTATTTGAATGCAATAAAACTGAAAGCGAAGTTCATCTTGTGATAAGGAAATAATTTGAAGTGTATTAACATTCGCCAAACCAATCAAACACTAAAATAGAAATGATACAATTGTTAACGAATTGAAAATGAAGTCGCAAAAGGAAATATTTCAAAATGAAATTTACATCCAGTGTTTTTTGCCCATTACCAATAATTTCCGGAATGTTTCTCATGATTTGGGGAGGAGGGGTAAATGTCCCGGCAATAACTGGGGTAAGTTCTATAAAATCTGCTTCTTTAACCACGATTTCAGCTGAAAAACATCAGAAGACCGCATAGAGTAACATGGTAGTAAATTATAATGTTTCAAAGATCCATTGTAAACTCTTTCAAACAGTTGAGTCTGTTATGAAAAGAGTTGATGCACATGTAACAGAACAAGTAATTTGGAAGTGAAGTGGTTATTGTAATCAGGAGACTAAAGACGGAACTGTTGGCAGGAATAACGTTGAATGCGTCTACGTGTATGTTGACGGTAGTGGGAAAGAGTTTAGAATGGATCTTGTCAATAGACACCACATGTTTTAATACAAAGATGTACCTATATCGATGTCAATTGTAGTGACGGCTTCCACAAACCACGGCGTCAGCTTAATATCCATATTCTCGTTAACCCTGACAGCTGTTGAAACAAAATACAACCCACACAGTGGACCAGGTTAATCCTTTACCATAATCGCAAGTGTTAATACTCTGCCAAAGAGAATCATTTCTGTACGTCATAACATTTATACAGATATGATAATTGGGAAGGTACATTGCAAAATCACTGGCGCCATCAAATCAATATGAAGTTTATACAACAGCAATAAATGCAACCTTCTGCAAATTTCAAAAGGCAGACAATGTACACAGGTAGATTTATTAAGTAGTATTAATTATAACACGTCTTGATCCGGATTAGTTATTGTGAACACATTCTAGGGAAATGTTTTCCGAAATGCACATTTTGACTCTAATTTCTCCTTGCCTAATTTATTATCGCGTAAATGACACGCACTGTTCATTTTGGACAGCGATTTCAATGAGATGAGGCAAATACATCTTTTCATATGCTTACAAAATTTTCAACTGCCTACCTATATCCAAAAATATCAAACATTACATTTTCAAACATTAAACCTCATGAAAGTTTCATTTTTCATGAGGCATTATTGATCTTTACATAATTATACGTTTAAAATACCAGGTTCAAATATTTTAAGAATGAGTTGCATTCTTCAAGACGTTAGTAGTTAATTAAATTTAACTGCCCGAGGAATTACAATGCAAACTTACTCAACAGGTATATCAGTGTAATATTTCTTCCTGTATGTTACCTGTAAGCGACCCTTCATCGCGGGTAACGCCGGTCATGAACACTTCACCGTTCAAGTCGGCATCTTTCAGAAGAGACTCCGGATCACTGTGCAGGAACTGCTGGTCGATGACAGGAGAGAAGTTGTACATTCCTGGCACGTACTAGAAGAAGAAATAAAGCCTTGGTAAAAGATTCCTTTGACCTCATAAAACACCACTTACAGATTCTCCCCATAATATATATTGCCCAGATAATATGAAAAAACAGTAACAGACTACCTAGCAAACATCAAAAACCAGTAACCGACCTCCTAGCAAACATAAAACACCAGTAACAGACTACCAAGCAAACATAAAACACCAGTAACAGACTACCTAGCAAACATAAAACACCAGTAATAGACTTCCTAGCAAACATAAAACACCAGTAACAGACTACCTAGCAATCATAAAACACCAGCAATAGACTTCCTAGCAAACATAAAACACCAGTAACAGACTACCTAGCAAACATAAAACACCAGTAACAGACTACCTAGCAAACATAAAAAAACAGTAACAGATTACTAGAAAACATAAAACACCAGTAACAGATTACTAGTAAAAATAAAGTACCAGTAACAGACTCCCTAGAAAACATGAAACACCAGTAAAAGACTCCCTAGAAAACATAAAACAGTATTTTATTTTATTTCCATGTTGATAAAGCAGTCATTGTAAGTTTACAGATCATAGTGGTATCTTTGTATCTATAGCACCGAACGCGAGATGCGCAATGCGTGAACGCACCTTCTTACCAACCCATGGATCCGGACAACGCTGTCATCTCCCTAGATTGCACAGAAGGACGCGACAGTTTTTTTTCCAACTTCATCAATGTGACGAAAGCTTGTCGAAACCCATGTAGAATCCTACATATAGCAAGGCGACTATGCTTGTCGTAAGAGGCGACTAAAGAGATCGTGTGGTCAGGCTCGCTGACTTGGTTGATGCATGTCATCATATCCCAATTGTGTGGAAGGATGCTCATGATGTCAATCACTGGATTGTCTGGTCCAGACTCGATTATTTACAGACCGCCGCTATATAGCTGGAATATTGCTGAGTGCGGCTTTAACAACAAACAAACAAACACACAAAAAGAACTTAGCGGCATGTCATATGGCAGATACTCAAACATAACATTTTCGAGAATTCTTGAACTTTATATACCTCAACCAATTTCTAATACATAAAAAAGCATTAATACAGGTACACATGTGAACATAACGTACCTTGAAAATGAATACATGTTAAACATGCCTCTACCGTCAGATCTACATATATGTAAGGGTCAAGGATGGTACAGCTGCCTTAGACGCCGAATTCGCTCGGCAGAGTTGCATCCCTTAGGTGTGTCAGGACCCGCTGACCGTGGGGTTGAATCTCAGTGTCGCCATGATTATGGCCCTCTAATTCTCCATAACCTTGCTCGTTCATTTCACCACCATGGTAAATGAATACAATCGTCGTCAGTTTGGACTTTCGTATCACTTTAAGCTGTTATTATTATTGTGCTAGTGTTCAGAGCGGCATTAAACTCACTAACTTCCTCGGTAAAGGTATTGGCAACAAGGAATATTTACAAATATGTCAAAACAAAACTGCAATCGTAAGACAGCGAGACAGTTCTATTATTAGAGATTAATGACTTAAAGTAAATAACAGCAATCACAATGATCTACATCTCTTCGTTAAAAACACTTCAGAGAACGATATGACATTTTATGAATAATCAATGATAAATCAATTAATTCAGGAGTAAAATACATCATATACTTTTTAGAAAAAGGAAATATTAATTACGTTTTGATATTACTTAGTGTTAAAATATTAATTTAATTAATAATAATAATCCGTGGTTACTTGTTTCCGATTTCACGAGGCTGACGGTTGCCATGGCTAGTATGTAACATTTTGCATATAATTGCAGATTAAGAGGCAACGGTTGCCTCAGTTGCTAAGGAGCGAGCGGTGGGGCAGTATAGTAGTTAAAGTGTTTGCTCGTCACGCCGAAGACCCGGGTTCGATTTCCCACATGGGTGCGATGTGTGAAGCCCGTTTCAGGTCGCCCCCGCTGTGGTATTACTGGAATATTGCTAAAAGCGACGTGAAACCATGCTTACTCATTCTAAGGCACCGCAATTTGCTGTGCAGAGTTAATATGATGTCAAAAGGTATGATCGTGGATTGTAACTTCCGATTCGAACCAATTATTATTAAATGTTTGTCAGCATTGAACCCTTGCTCGTTGGTTTCACATCAACACATAAGACCTGCAACACTTCTGGATTTCCTCCCAAATGAAGCTGACATGGCGTGATATATCTATCTGAATACAGTTCATGCAGCGTTAAACCCAACTCTCTCAATTGTGCCATATCAACGAAACCGTAAATATTATGTTATTGTGTTTACATGTCAGACTGCCACGGAAGTTTTGTTTGTTTGTAGTTTAACGCCGCGTTCATCAATATTCCAGCTCTATGATGGCGGTCTGCAAATAATCGAGTCTGGACCAGACAATCCAGAGAGCATCGATCCATGTATTTTGGACACGATGACATGCATCAACCAAGTCAGCGAGCTTGACCACTCGATCCCGTTAGTCGGCTCTTACGACGAGCATAGTCGCCTTTTACGGCAAGCATGGGTTGCTGAAGACCTATTCCAACCCGGACCTTCACGGGTCGCCACGGAAGTAGATTGTGCGTTTTGAACAATGTAACCAGCTATATTACAGTTTAACAGATGAATTTTCCTACGTACAAATCACTGGAAGCAAAAAATATGTTATTCTTAATCGTTTTCGGAACAGTCTGAGAGTCGGCTCCTATTTAGGATCACATAATGCAACAGAGTAAGTATGTTTCCTACAGTGACTTCTTTGGCCAGTCTCTTCCGATAAAGCCATCTCTATATCAAACCTTTTCACATCTTTATCTACGTACTCTTAATTAGTCGAAGACCATCTTTGACATTCACATGGTCACATCTGTCATGTATCCTTTGTGTATTGAGATGTCTGGGCTAGGCCTGAGTTGCCATATCTCATTAGACACAGACGAAGCTCGCTCAGATCGAGGAGAAGGACAACGGTGCTACACGTCATGGAATAATGGCACCGTGAGAGTGGACCGTCTACATAAATCAACGGATATGGATCCGTGGCATGGAAGACGTTTCTTTTAAAATAATACAATTATTATCTTTGGTTTTATTTAAATAACCAAGGAGCTACGACGAAATGATTGCGGAGAAGTTTTAAATTTCCATGTGAACGAAGGATGATTGTCATTCAGAACAGCTAGTTCCCGGGTTGAAGAAGGTCATGTTGTTTACTGACTATTTACATTTTAATGTAATGAAAGGCTGTTTTGTAGCCCTTTGTTTGATAGAAATGAAGCGATAACACCTCTTCCGTAATCATAAGAAATCTCCGTTGTCCATCATTAGCATGTAGTTATGAAGCACTATCAAAGGGTGACAAGGTGTTGGCGAAAATTTACCGAGGTATATTCTGCCCTATCGGCACCTGTTTCAAACATATGTATAGGCAAGTCAAGTGTCAGTCTCAACAAACACGGGCACATATGATACATGTCAAAATAGGGAATTGCATGGGCCATCATTTTTGTCACCGTCAAAGTTTGAGATTTCCTCCACATGTCTTCCAATAGCGTTTGTTGTTTAGCGCCGCACTCAGCAATATTACAGCAATATGACGGAGTTCTGTAAATAATCGAGTCTGGGTCAGAAAACCCAGTGATTGACATCATGAACATCGATCCACGCAATTTGAATGCAATGACATGCATCAACCAAGTCAGAAAGCCTGAGCACCCGGTCCGTTAGTCGCCTCTAACGACAAGCATAGTCGCCTTTTACGGCAAGAATGGGTTGCTGAAGACATATTCTACCACGGATCTCTATGGGTCTATGTACATTATATGACACGCTTTTGTGATCACAGGTGCCAGGTTATACTATCAGAAAAAAGTACTCAATCCCCGTGGAGATTCCTACAGGAGGGCGACTTAAAAGTTCGGGTGATCTGGCTCGGTGATTTGATCGATTGCGTGTCATCGTACCTCGACATTAAAGGCCTTTTCCCATGACATCAATCACTTGTTTGTCTGTCCGGACTCGATTATTTACAGGCCCTGGTATATAGCTGAAATAGTGTTGAGAGTGACGTCATACCAAACAAACACAACATACAGTCGAGATGAATGGATTTACACGACAGTAAGAGGCGACAAACGGGAACGAGTGGTCAGGCTGGCTGACTTGGTTGATGCATGTCATCGTATCCCAGTTGTGTAGATGCTCATCATATCAATCACTGGATTGTCTTGTCCGGGCTCTATTATTTTCAGACCACCGTCATATAGCTGGAATATTGCTGAGTGCGACATTAAACAACAAGCAATCAAACAAACAAGCAAAACTCGACAGCCATTTCAGCGCCAGGTCTAATACTAATGTGTTAAGCCTTGGTTTCACCTACATCATATTCCTCCTGTATTATGTCTTTCCAGTCTTTGGTCTTCAAGCACTGCTTCAATTCCTGCATATCCTGGTCGAAATAACAGCCAAGTTTCTCACCAAAGCGAATTGTTCTGAAGATGGCATTAGCAGGAGGCCGGAGGAGAGCCCAATAAGCCGTCGGTGACCCACTCTGCAGAATGGCGTACCGGAACAGTCCTGTTGGGGGAAATAAGCTATTAAGTCAATTGATGATATTTATGAATAACGTCTGTACCAGAATTGCGCTAGACTGGCATTGCTAGACTGGCATGGCGTGACTGGCATTGCGTGACTAACATAGTTAGACTGGCATGGCGTGACTGGCATTGCGTGACTGACATAGTTAGACTTGCATGGCGTGACTGCCATTGTTAGACAGGTATTGCTTGAATGGCTTTGCTTGACATATACCCCAGGAATTAATATGGTTGGCTGAGAATCCACTTACAACTTATTTCCTAAGTCATATATAAGATTGCTGGATTGTCTCAGCGGCAGCACAGGAACATTGCGTTACTCACGATTTTCAGTTTTCATCATTGAGAAAGTGACTTACATATTGTAATTAGCGAAATGAATTTTGACAGTCAATTAGTTAGATGTTAATGTTAGTTTACTGTTAGAACAGTTTGCCATTCGAATAAGATTGGAATAAGTTGAAGGTTAGTAGTAACTATAAGCCAGGTACAAGCAATAACTTGCAAACAAAAAATAGTTTTGCAGAAAAAAATGAGAAACTGGAAAAAATGTGAGTTCAAATATGGCAGACCAATAAAACCTGGTGAGGTCATCATCGTGCTTACAAATTACGGTGGTATCAGGAAACAGGTGAGCACCATATACCTTGACGTAAGCCGGGTCTAAAGATAAAGTCGGATCAAGTACTAACATGATAGATGTTCAGGCCCCGTGGAATTCCAGCGTTTTGTCCCCAGCAACCTATGCTGGTTGTAAGAGTGCGACAGAATGGTTCGGGTAGCCAGGCCCGGGATATCAGCGTTTTGTCCCCAGCAACCTATGCTGGTTGTAAGAGTGCGACAGAATGGTTCGGGTAGCCAGGCCCGGGATATCAGCGTTTTGTCCCCAGCAACCTATGCTGGTTGTAAGAGTGCGACAGAATGGTTCGGGTAGCCAGGCCCGGGATATCAGCGTTTTGTCCCCAGCAACCTATGCTGGTTGTAAGAGTGCGACAGAATGGTTCGGGTAGCCAGGCCGGGAATTCCAGCGTTTTGTCCCCAGCTACCTATGCTGGTTGTAAGAGTGCGACAGAATGGTTCGGGTAGCCAGGCCGGGAATTCCAGCGTTTTGTCCCCAGCTACCTATGCTGGTTTAAGAGGGCGACAGAATGGTTCGGGTAGCCAGGCCCTGAATTCCAGCGTTTTGTCCCCAGCTACCTATGCTGGTTGTAAGAGGGCGACAGAATGGTTCGGGTAGCCAGGCCCGGGATATCAGCGTTTTGTCCCCAGCAACCTATGCTGGTTGTAAGAGTGCGACAGAATGGTTCGGGTAGCCAGGCCCGGGATATCAGCGTTTTGTCCCCAGCTACCTATGCTGGTTGTAAGAGTGCGACAGAATGGTTCGGGTAGCCAGGCCCGGGATATCAGCGTTTTGTCCCCAGCAACCTATGCTGGTTGTAAGAGTGCGACAGAATGGTTCGGGTAGCCAGGCCCGGAATTCCAGCGTTTTGTCCCCAGCAACCTATGCTGGTTGTAAGAGTGCGACAGAATGGTTCGGGTAGCCAGGCCGGGAATTCCAGCGTTTTGTCCCCAGCTACCTATGCTGGTTGTAAGAGTGCGACAGAATGGTTCGGGTAGCCAGGCCGGGAATTCCAGCGTTTTGTCCCCAGCTACCTATGCTGGTTTAAGAGGGCGACAGAATGGTTCGGGTAGCCAGGCCCTGAATTCCAGCGTTTTGTCCCCAGCTACCTATGCTGGTTGTAAGAGGGCGACAGAATGGTTCGGGTAGCCAGGCCGGGAATTCCAGCGTTTTGTCCCCAGCTACCTATGCTGGTTGTAAGAGTGCGGCAGAATGGTTCGGGTAGCCAGGCCCGGGATATCAGCGTTTTGTCCCAAGCAACCTATGCTGGTTGTAAGAGTGCGACAGAATGGTTCGGGTAGCCAGGCCGGGAATTCCAGCGTTTTGTCCCCAGCAACCTATGCTGGTTGTAAGAGTGCGACAGAATGGTTCGGGTAGCCAGGCCCGGAATTTCAGCGTTTTGTCCCCAGCAACCTATGCTGGTTGTAAGAGTGCGACAGAATGGTTCGGGTAGCCAGGCCCGGGATTTCAGCGTTTTGTCCCAAGCAACCTATGCTGGTTGTAAGAGTGCGACAGAATGGTTCGGGTAGCCAGGCCCGGGATTTCAGCGTTTTGTCCCAAGCAACCTATGCTGGTTGTAAGAGTGCGACAGAATGGTTCGGGTAGCCAGGCCCGGGATTTCAGCGTTTTGTCCCAAGCAACCTATGCTGGTTGTAAGAGGGCGACAGAATGGTTCGGGTAGCCAGGCCCGGAATTCCAGCGTTTTGTCCCAAGCAACCTATGCTGGTTGTAAGAGTGCGACAGAATGGTTCGGGTAGCCAGGCCCGGGATTTCAGCGTTTTGTCCCCAGCAACCTATGCTGGTTGTAAGAGTGCGACAGAATGGTTCGGGTAGCCAGGCCCGGGATATCAGCGTTTTGTCCCCAGCAACCTATGCTGGTTGTAAGAGTGCGACAGAATGGTTCGGGTAGCCAGGCCCGGGATATCAGCGTTTTGTCCCCAGCAACCTATGCTGGTTGTAAGAGGGCGACAGAATGGTTCGGGTAGCCAGGCCCGGGATATCAGCGTTTTGTCCCCAGCAACCTATGCTGGTTGTAAGAGGGCGACAGAATGGTTCGGGTAGCCAGGCCCGGGATATCAGCGTTTTGTCCCCAGCAACCTATGCTGATTGTAAGAGGGCGACAGAATGGTTCGGGTAGCCAGGCCCGGGATATCAACGTTTTGTCCCCAGCAACCTATGCTGGTTTAAGAGGGCGACAGAATGGTTCGGGTAGCCAGGCCCGGGATTTCAGCGTTTTGTCCCCAGCAACTTATGCTGGTTGTAAGAGGGCGACAGAATGGTTCGGGTAGCCAGGCCGGGAATTCCAGCGTTTTGTCCCAAGCAACCTATGCTGGTTGTAAGAGGGCGACAGAATGGTTCGGGTAGCCAGGCCCGGAATTCCAGGGTTTTGTCCCCAGCTACCTATGCTGGTTGTAAGAGTGCGACAGAATGGTTCGGGTAGCCAGGCCCGGGATATCAGCGTTTTGTCCCCAGCAACCTATGCTGGTTGTAAGAGTGCGACAGAATGGTTCGGGTAGCCAGGCCCGGGATTTCAGCGTTTTGTCCCCAGCAACCTATGCTGGTTTAAGAGGGCGACAGAATGGTTCGGGTAGCCAGGCCGGGAATTCCAGCGTTTTGTCCCAAGCAACCTATGCTGGTTGTAAGAGGGCGACAGAATGGTTCGGGTAGCCAGGCCCGGAATTCCAGCGTTTTGTCCCAAGCAACCTATGCTGGTTGTAAGAGGGCGACAGAATGGTTCGGGTAGCCAGGCCCGGGATTTCAGCGTTTTGTCCCCAGCAACCTATGCTGGTTGTAAGAGGGCGACAGAATGGTTCGGGTAGCCAGGCCCGGGATTTCAGCGTTTTGTCCCCAGCAACCTATGCTGGTTGTAAGAGGGCGACAGAATGGTTCGGGTAGCCAGGCCGGGAATTCCAGCGTTTTGTCCCAAGCAACCTATGCTGGTTGTAAGAGTGCGACAGAATGGTTCGGGTAGCCAGGCCCGGGATTTCAGCGTTTTGTCCCCAGCAACCTATGCTGGTTTAAGAGGGCGACAGAATGGTTCGGGTAGCCAGGCCGGGAATTCCAGCGTTTTGTCCCAAGCAACCTATGCTGGTTGTAAGAGGGCGACAGAATGGTTCGGGTAGCCAGGCCGGGAATTCCAGCGTTTTGTCCCCAGCAACCTATGCTGGTTGTAAGAGGGCGACAGAATGGTTCGGGTAGCCAGGCCCGGGATTTCAGCGTTTTGTCCCCAGCAACCTATGCTGGTTGTAAGAGGGCGACAGAATGGTTCGGGTAGCCAGGCCCGGGATTTCAGCGTTTTGTCCCCAGCAACCTATGCTGGTTGTAAGAGGGCGACAGAATGGTTCGGGAAGCCAGGCCGGGAATTCCAGCGTTTTGTCCCAAGCAACCTATGCTGGTTGTAAGAGTGCGACAGAATGGTTCGGGTAGCCAGGGCGTTCGCTCGTCACGCCGAAGACCCGTGTTTGATTCCCGACATGGGTACAATGTGTTAAGCTCATTTCTGGTGTCCTCCGCCGTGATATTGCTGGAATATTGCTAAAAGCGGCGTATAAACCATACTTACTCACTCACTCGGGTAGCCAGGCCCGTTTACAACTCAATGATTCAGTCATCCGTATATTCCAAGCATTGTTCATCGCCATGTTGATCCATGGTCTGGACTGTATCTACATGCTACATCAATGTCTGAACCTAATTTCCCCTTAACCCACTTCAACAATGGCGTGGCGTTTACTGACTGAGGGGTAATATTTTAAATGACTGTGACTTATGTTAATAACATTGTATTCTTCTCCCTTAGCGTCTCCTTATCTCCCTCTGTGAAGGCCACCTGCATACGCTTATCGAAAGGCTATAGATTACTTAAAGGCCGCCGTCCTACAGCTGGAATAATGTTGACTGCAGCGAAAACAAACAAACCTTCAGATCTACGCAAAGTCAACTGCAAACAAATTATGTGAAAATATGTAATATAATGGTGAGACATCCTTGGGTCTTGTAGCTTAAACAGGGACAATGTAGCTATATCATTTACCATAAAAGGGTGATCGGTCTTCAAATCGGTGCCAAAAATGAATATACGAAAGAAACGTCAGGTCTTTGTACAGCCAGATGCAATTTACTCATGTACATCAATGTGCGAGCGGGCTTTTTAATATGGCTGCTGTAACGTTAATAAACGTCCTAGACACTATCGAAGGTATGTATACAGTTTCAGGGGCATCGGGTTCCTGATGTGGAAAACGTGCAACGCAAGGAAGAACTGATACATCGGAAGAGTTCAAAAGGTTCATAAGTTTTCTGTGTCTATTAACTAAATTAAATTATGTGAAATCATCACAGATATTCTGTACAATTTTTCAAATGAAAAGTAACATTATGTTCACTATATGAAGCTTTTGTTTCGATTAATTTAATAACGAAGGAAGATTCAAATAAATGCAATTGTTACTTGGTGTGAATTATAAATTTAACGCTCAGAGTGAGTGAGTGAGTGAGTTTGGTTTTACGCCGCTTTTAGCAATATACCAGCAATCACGGCGGGGGACACCAGAAATGGGCTTCACACATTGTACCCATGTCGGGATTCCAACCCGGGTCTTCGGCGTGACGAGCGAACGCTTTAACCACTGGGCTACCCGACCGCCCCTTTAACGCTCAGAACTAGAGAGATGTATCGCGTGTAATGGAGCAGTTGATCAGCCAGGTTTTCAGCTTGTCCTACGCTTGTTTTGTTTGTTTGTTTATTTGTTGTTTAACGCCGCACTCAGCAATGTTCCAGCTATATGACGGCGGTCTGCAAATAATCGAGTCTGGACCAGACAATCCAGTGATTGACAACATGAGCATCGATCCACGCAATTGGGATCGATTACATGCATCAGCCAAGTCAGCAAGCCTGACCACCCGATCCCGTTAGACGCCTCTTACGACAAGCATAGTCGCCTTTTACAGCAAGCATGGGTTGCTGAAGACCTATTCTACCCCGGATCTTTACGGGCCTCCTACACTTGTATCAAAACTCTTGCCGAAAAAGGTGGGGGCCACACCAAGCCTTGGCGTATAATACCTGGACACTTCCATTTCGATTTTCCTACACGATTTTAATTAGGGAAAAAGTGCGTATGTCATTTCTTGTTTGTCACTAGAAAAACGATCTTGCACTTGAATTCCATCAATGAATGAGTGTTCTCAGGAAAAATAGCGTCCCTGTCACGAAAGTCATGTCTGGCACGTGATATTGATAGATATTTGTCATGTGGAGTATTCAGATTGAGAAACTGAAAAATAGCTGCAAACTAAAATCAAACAATAAATCAAACTTAACTTATTGTTTAGGAATCATTGTTTAGGTAATGGGGCGCAATCTAATATTTTTTGTCGGTTTCTTCATCATTAGAAAAACATTAAACAGTAATACTTAAAACGTTTATATATCGCTGAGCGATGTACCTTTCGAATGAGGTGACACGATGTGGAAACCGACATTTCCTCCTCCTGCACTGTGACCTTCAACTGTGACCTTGTTGGGGTCACCTCCAAAAAAATGAATATTTTTGGCTACCCACTTCAGCGCTGCAGTCTGATCCATAAGCCCATAGTTGCCCGGGAACTCTGGTCGTTCGCCGCTCAGAAACCCTGCAACAATAACAAGTACATCCATGGAGACAAGTACTATAAACATAGATTGTCTGGACCGGCAGGTTATATCACACCAACTTGACTTGGAAACGTCCTTAGGGTAAACTGTGTACTGATCGTCACTCGCGAAGGCTGCTTCCGGTAAGGCATGAGATGCACAACCGTTTCGAGAATGCACATTGTAAGAATGTAATGTAGTTATTTCCATCGTATTCAAATTGATTCCACGGTGATTATGTTTCTTGATTCGTCAACCCTAATCCTGTGCTTTTGGGCTTTCTCGAAACGTCTGATTCATATAAGACCTGTATCACTTTGGGCTTTACCCAACATCAAGCTGACATACCTTCTATACTATTGAAAGCGGCTGTACACTCTCTCACTCACTCAACGTGTGTCTTTGGCTTTACTTCCATGTAGGGATTTAAACGTTAGGAATTACCATATTCGAATGCTCGTCTGAACGTACTCAAGAGTTAATCGATCACTCGAATGCTGGAAATAGAGTGACGTGTCGGAAGTGTCCTTGAGAAATTCACTCATAAAACAAACTTCTTATAAACTATGAGCGGGTTAGGGACACTGGCAATCATCGTCACGGTTGAAAAAGCACTGTTCATAAGTATCCTTTGATATGATCATCAGGGATAACGTTGAAACATGACTAATGTCAACAGTATTGTCCTGGTTGCCACACAATGTGGCCAAGGACAGTCTCCAGAAATGGAGTAACCGGACTCAAAGTTCCTTTAAATTCAGATCGTCACTGAATTCTATGAAGTAAGCCAATAGCTTACTGAGTGAGTGAATACTGTTTAACGCCACAGTCGGTAATATTAACCAAAATCATCATAGGTTCTAAATCATAGAGTACAGACCAGGCAACGCAATGACTGAAAGCATGAGAAACGTTTCACATCAGGGTAGGATGATACGCAATCAGACCACCCTATCCTAATTCTAGTCGGCTATTGCAAGCATGAGGTACCGAAGACCTATTTCGGAATCGTCACACAGCTGTGTTCAACCATATGCTTGACTGACGTGTTGACAACAAATGTTCGCTTTTAATTAACGCACAAAGAGTGAGTGAGTGAGTGAACATCTAACAACAAGGTAATTCTAATATGATTTCTTCAGAGTTTCCTTATTTAGTTTCACATTAATACAAACTTTTTTTAGACATCTTACGTATGTTTGGAGACAAAGGAGACACAATTGTGTTTTCAAAAATCCTTGCAGCATATCATCCACTTGAACACATTTTAGGATCTGAATGAAATATTTTTGAATGTGTTTTAGGGTGCATTACATCAACTTACCGAATGGCCCGAGTCTGTAATTAAAAGTAATAACAATAATTTCTCCAAGAGCTGCTAAAATGTCTCCATCGAACATCGTTCCCATGCCGACTTCATTTGAACCACCATGAATGTGCACGAGGACCGCCATCTTGCTGTCAGCGCCACCTGTCTTGAAGATTAAGTCGAAAGATAGCATCATGTACGTACAAGGATAGAGGTAGATAAGTCCTAACAATTAAGGCAACGTTAATTGCCAAGGCTAGACGTCTTTTTGTTACACACACACACACACACACACACACACACACTAACAGATATATATATATCTATATATATCTCTCTGTGTGTGTGTGTGTGTGTGTGTGTGTGTGTGTGTGTGTGTGTAACAAAAAGACGTATATATATGTACATTACCCGTTATAATCTGATGGAATTGTATCATGGATATCAAAGAAAATGATGTTTGTTCAATTCTACATGAAAACCTTTAAGAAGTAAGGCTGATATTGAAGGTTTCATTTTGTCTGTAGTCAATAATGTATTTTCAACATGCGTTTGCAATTAACATCCATTGGTCATGCCGACATTACATTTAAACCCACACAACCGAGAATCAAGCATTACAACAGTTCATTTATCTTATAAACTGGGTCGTCGCTTCATCGCGCAACGTCGCCTTTAACTTGAATAGAGATAGATTATTGGTGAAGTCATGGTTGATGAATCCATTTTAACCGACAGCCATATTTTCAAACTAGCTCTTTCATTAATATATCATAAAAATGAAATACGGTTGAACACCATTGTTGTAAACTGCACGTGACCCAAGAAGAATTTAAAGTTATCGGAGTGTTATATACACCGATAACATATTGTCGACGCCATTCCAAAGTAAGTGGTCAAATCAGTTGCAAAACATTCGAAAATTCGACACATCAAACTTCGACGCAGTTCTATACTGCGAGATTCACCTGTTAACGAAACTCTGATCTCGCACCTTCAAGGATCATTTCATCGACAGAACATTGACAGACTTATTTCTGGTACACTCGTCCGGCATCATCAGTCAGTCTATGATCTAAGACCGACATATTTTTAAACACAGACCTGTGCTATAGGTCACTGTCAAAAGAACTGGTGGAGCAACAAATGGGATACAAATATAGCAGCAGATCAAAGATAGTTCATCGGAATCAAATATCTGTCCCTATCAGTTCGTGTAAATCCTTGTTACCGGAGTTTCTTGATAGTATCAGAGACATCTGAGATATGTGCCGATTATTGATCAGAAGGAACAGAACGATCCATCATACAGAGTTGTCCGACATAACGAATGCATGTATCGTTGAACGATAATGACCAACACAAGTTACTGAACAGGAATGAAATCTAAGCAGAATATCTGAATCACAAAAAGAGTTTTCTTCGGTACAGTGAAGTCACTCTGAGATGCTATTGTTTGCCCTGAATATGTTTTGGCATTTCAGAACATTAAACGAAAATATACAGATGGCAGTAAATGTAGCGCAGAATCAAATGTTAGAGGAACTCGTTGGAGAATTACTGCAAATGGTAATATGGTATTACGATAAATTAGTTGCATACATTGCATCGAAGATGTAACGACAAATGGTAAATTGATTTTGGTAGGAGCCATGGTTAAAATTGAATCCCTGAATTTCGAAAATTACATAAATATGAAAGTAAATACTTGTCGAGACTTATTTAAATTTAGAACCTCCAATCACATTCTCCCAATTGAAACTTGAAGATGGAAAAAAACACCTTTAGAGCAAATATAATGTCCATTTTCTAAATCATTTGATTTAGGTGATGAGTTCCACTATCTATTTATCTGACCACTATTTCAAAATGAGAGAAAACAGCAAATTAGAAAATATTTTTACATTTCACTAAATATGTACAAAATGAATTTGCTTTTTAATGGTAAAAGATGAGAACTCTTAGAAAATTATTCCTGTATTCCTTTCCTTTATCTTTATTAACTGAATCCACGGCTCGGTAAATATGTTGGAATATATTGTATATTTGTATATAGTCATGTATATGTTGATGTATCAATGCTGTACCTCTAATGTCGCCTGGCTGTAATAAGGTTCATTTCAGTTCTGGTATAGAAAACCCGTCAGTTTAGGCAGTATCAGACTTTGGCATAAACCGCATTCGCGTGCTATTTTGTCCTATACGCACTGAAATGCTATAATGAAAGCTGTCACATCCAACACACCTTGACTAACCGCAATATCATTTCAATTGAACCCGTTGACACGTATGTATTAATTCTTGTAATGAGTAATGGCGTGGGTGTCCGCGAGATGACGTTAACAACCCGAATCTAACAACCCTAACTGAAATAAACCACACAATCGGTCAATTCTGGTCTGTTTGTGGAGCTATTGTTTCTAGTATGGAAGACCTACAGGCATATGTAGGCCAAATTTGGCAATTAACCATCTGGGCTTAACCCATGGAAACGGTTTTCTCGCTCTTATTTCACTCTACCCAAAATCAATTCCATAGATAAATATTCCTTCAAATTGAAACCAAACTTAGAAAAAACCACTATTGGAACCATCGGCTGACTTTGTCATTTCATTGGGAAAGACTGGTCTCGACCCAGTTGAAACATCCTAACTTGCCCGAAGCATTGAACACCCTCTATAAGGGCAGCGTGTGTTCTTGGCAGGGCGAGGCACTCGGGCGCTGAAGAAGACAAATTCCATTTTCAAGTGACAGGTAGTTAGCAAGTTATTTCTGGCTGTCGAGTGTCTTTAATTAAGTGCTAGTTCCTCTTTGATAGTCTCATTTACAAAGATGGGTCGATGGTTACGTAAACGACGTGAAAGCTATCTTCACGTCAATGATAACAATCTTACGTAATTGATCGTCTTTGCTTCAAGTTCGTTTCAGCTATGGCGTTATTGCCGAAAGGTTTTAGTGAGCTGTTCATTGGTTTTTCCGGAGCAATTATTGTAACCTTGGAGCCCATGCTGTTTTACTGATTTGTAATGCATTGGTTAGCCGTGTGCACAGTGGAAGTGTTGATATAATTTCACGCCCTTAACCCTGGTAAACTGAATCAAAGAGTCTACCGCGACCTCATTCGGCGGACGAATGTTAATGCCAATAAACCAAAGTTCAGGTTGGCGTTGCGTGGCTTTATGCACATAATACAAGCTCTATCGTGGGATTGCTTCCTGTTTGAAAAGTGAAAATCATAATCCCAACAAAAGGATATTGTGTAACACATGCTCAAAGGCAAAATTAGTCGCGGTGATGTTTTTATCATACTGTGATGCATTAAGAAGAGCTTTAACTAATAAATCATTTCATTTACTTTGAAGGTATTAGGTGCACTTGTTTCAACTGGACTGACACGATGGACCTCATAGGCTTTAGTATAAAAAACTTCCAGATTTCAAATTCAATTTTGTTTTCAAATGTTATTTCATTTTCCCATTACAGTCTGTTTGTTGTTTAACGCCCCAATCAGCAATATTCCAGCTGTATGAAGGCGGTCTGTAAATAATCGAGTCTAGATCAGACATTCCAATGTTTGACGTCATGTGCATCGATCCACGTAATTGGGATGCATCAACCAACTTAGCGAGCCTGACCACCCGATCCCGTTAGTCGCCTCTTACTACAAGCATAGTAACCTCTTACGGCAAGCATGGGCTGCTGAAGACCTATTCTACCCCGGATCTTCACGGGTCCCACTAGCAAGTAGCAAGGGACACTGTATCCATGGATTCGCGTTTCCCAATTTGTTCCCATGGAGACGTATAGCTGTTGGAGTGAGTGAGTATGCCGCTTTTAGCAATAGTCCAGCAAAATCGCGGTGGAGAACACTAAATATAGGTTTCACACATTGTACCCATGTAGGGAATCAAAACCGATTTTGCAGCGTGGTTTTAACCACTGGACACAATAGCAGTTTTAAATTGCAAATGTTTAGGTAATGCGTACTTCCTGCCTAAATACGTATCAAAAAGGCACCGAGCTACTCTGATGTGTCTTGCGTGAGTTAGTGTCTTGGGGGTCACGCGGTCTGTAACTGTATTTCAATTATATCACGCCCCGTCTGCTGAATGGGGAGGAAAGCCCGAAGGCATTCATGTCATAGGCTTTCACCGCTCGGCTGAAACAGCAACTGTCAATAACAAAAACAAGTTTGTCAGATAGATTGGCAAACCTTTTACAAACTAATAAATATAAAACACCAGAGCATAACCAGTCGCGATTATCCGACGAAACAGATTCCATTTGGTGTAAAGGGCAATGTAGCGGTGAAAATTATATGAATGGGTCACTGAAACAGTGATGACACCAGGTGTTCGCGAAAAGGGTAAGCATGCCCTGGCCGGGAAGCCGTGTTTGCGCGATTATAGTTTTAATTCACATTGAGTCGTCATTGTTTTAATGACGTCTCTTATTTGACTTCCCGGGGGCACGAGTGGCACAGTCGTCTAAGGCGCCGCGATTCGCTGTGCACAGTTGCGTCCCTTGGGCACGCTAGAAACCTATGATTGTGGGTTCGAATCCGGGTTATGTTCTTGGGTTTGCCAGCACAGTCACTTATTTGACTTCCCGACCACAGTATTTGGTGTCCTATTCAAACATGGAACTGATATCAAAACTACTACCTAAAACTCGCCAGCGAAAAATGACCAGACTCAAATATGTAAATTACAAGCCACGATCGTTCCCCGAATGAAGACGTATAACTGAACCTTCTAGTCGTGTACAAGACATTCAGACAAATGAAGTCTCCAGGTTTTTCTGACGTAAAATCTCCTTATCCTATTTATATCAACAGCAGTCATTAGGAGATGGCATATCCCCAGCCCAGTGCAATGTTTCGGAAAGAGGTATTGAACGGCTTTGAAATAGAATCCGGAAGTAGTCTCACTTGTTTCCATGGAAATGAAAAAAAAACATCTAACTTTCAAAAGCAAACATTTTGTGGGTAAATATTCAATAGATTTTACTTCTGCTCCGGAAACGAACCCCTCCGTCAGTCCAACTTGATCCATAAAACATGACTTGGATAGAACATTTTTTAAAAACTGCAGCAGAACCAATCAAACAATCATTAGATTGCAAACTGTGAAATACTGTTCAATAGGGGGGATAATGAAGCTCTTCTCGTGCGAAGAGCTTGGTTGGTGCTTCTATTAGTGGTACTTTTGTACATACCACCTAAATTCATTCACAGACAGTGACCATAAGAAAGCTCACAAAACTATTCTCAGTGGAAACAAAAGTGACATATTATTTCCATAATTATACGAAATCTCTGTTCAAAGCCAAACTACGATTCCGACCATATGATAAGCTTTGTTTCTTTGTTTGTTGTTTAACGCCGCACTCAGCAATATTATAGCCATATGGCGGCGGTCTCGGGGTCAGTGTACTGTGTCTGAGTAGGGTATTCATGTTTAACTGAAGCATGGTATCTCAGTGGGCTAGCACAGTAAAGTCGGCATAAGACCGGACTAGTACAATCACACACACACACACACACACACACACACACACACACACACACATACGCACGCACGCACGCACGCATGCATGCACGTCGCTAAATAAGTGCAACAATCATGAACGCAACGCTAAACCCCATTCAACCTCACATCACTCTGACTCTAGAAGTATTTACTATCTGCTATATTGCTGACCGCGATGTGAATAAAAACAACAACAAAATTGCTGTAAAGATTTGTCCAGGTGTACTTCAGGAGGAATATTTGACTAACGAATGTTAAACTGTTAGAACTGTTCTTGATTGTTTTCGTTAAGGTATGACGTCGCACGCACCTGTGGTACGTAGATGTTGATGTAGAGGCAGTCTTCGTCGCTGTCGGTGTATCCAGGGACGTGCATGTGAACGTAAGACCATTCCGATCCTGTTTGGGGGCACGCTGGAGGCTTGACCGTGGCGTTAAGAATTCCCTCCCACGACTTGGGTTCTTCGGGGTTCTGTTAATAAAAGAAAGACAAATCTATAGTCGATTGTTTCATGAATTGTCAATATTCAATTCTGGCAGTGATGATTTGTGTTTTGTTTTCAATATTGAAATACCATTTCTGTCTTTGTTTACTGCTTGTGTATTTGTTCATCTTTGTCTGTCTCCTCTATTTTTGTGCACGGCGTATCGACAATTATGTGTATAAAAATCAAATTTATGAAATATGAACGTATTTGTACACTGATGTCAAAAGTTATCGTTTCAAGGGTATTTAAGGGCGATGGAACAGCCTCATTGTTAAGACACCTGCAATCACATCGATGGCCCTGGATCGATCCCAATATGGAGATTTCTATCCCATGTGTTCTGTCTGTTTGTATGAACATTGCTACAAGTGGCGTAAAACCCAACGCACTTATATAACGAATTTTATAATCAATTGTGGCAAGAAATGTCCAAGGTTTTGTAACTACCCTTTCCTTCAGGAAGTAGTTTTCGAACATGAAGCACACAATATACATGGAGATACACTATTTCAAGAAGTTCCAGGGTGTTCCACTCATGCTCAGATAACCGTTCCCCCATTGTCAGACGAGACGCTTCTCCAAGGTCAATATTGTATTCAATCAATCAATCAATCATGTTCTAAACGCCTCTCAAAGACTTGTTGGGTACAGACAGACATATCGCACACTATAAACACACTTATATTTAGACCCGTGAAGATCAAGGGTAGAATAGGTCTTCAGCAACCCATGCTTGCCGTAAAAGTCGACTAACGGGATCGGGTGGTCAGGCTCGCTGACTTGTTTGATGATGCATGTCATCGATCCCAGTTGCGTAGATCGATGCTTATGATTTCATTCACTGGATTGTCTGGTCCAGACTCAATTATTTACATATAATTATTTGCCGAGTGTGGCGTTAAACAACAAACCAACCAACCCAAGAAGGCAATCTGAGAACACGTTGTGGTTCTTCCTTAATTAGATTATTCGTCATCAAATATCTTGGGAATGGGAGATGTTTCCTCTGTCTTTACTCCATCAATCATCACCTTGGCCTTGAATGCTTCGGCATGCATAGGGAAGAGAACTCCCGGAGATTGAATGAAGTACGTTGTCTACTGTCATAAGATAAGCACTGCATCAGGGACGACCACGTACATTCTCAGTGAAAGTAATTCGGTCAGCAGCTGTCATCTCGCAATGACTTCATATAAGCGGATTAAATTACTTACACTGTGAACAGAGTAGAGGCTTACAAAGTAAAGTACAGGCTTACAAAAACACACACGCCTTTGCAGATCAGCTGAGATGCCCGCATAACTGAAGTAGCAGTCTTGAGTAGGGCGGTGATAGACATCGTTATAAGCTTGGGTGATTCTATCTGTCTACACTCCGGTACAATCTGTTTGTATGTCTGTCTACAGTTCGGCACTGCGTAAATCGGTTTCTCTAAATATCGCCGTATATTTAAATGATTGGTCGTATAATATTTTTGACATGTGTTCAGTCATTACTTCATCAGAACATATGATCATATGCCTTTTTGTTTTTTTGTTTGTTGTTTAACGCCGTACTCAGCAATATTCCCGCTATATGCCGGTGGCCTGTAAATAATCTGGACCAGACAATCCCGTGATTGACATCATGAGCATCGATGCGCTACATTTAGAACATGTATGTAATTATATAATTCAATACCACAATATATCAGTCACTTGTTCTTTCCCACTTGTGAGGTCAGCACCGAAGTGGTAAACGTCTGAGACCTGCATAATTTGGGCTTTCCTCCCACATCAAGCTGACACGCCGTGATATAACTGGAATACTCTAAAAAACGGCGTTAAACCCAACTCGCTCGTTCGCTCGTTCGCTCGCTCCCACTTGTGAGCTTAGCAAAAGGCAAGGGTAATTAAATGCAGTTGATTTTATCTGAAAACTGAAATAGGTTGATAAGAGGGGAGTATAAATGTGAACGAGTATTCTGAACGCATTAAAATGGGTGACACACTCCACCATTTGCCTTCATAAAGTCCAAACATGATAATGTCGTTCACACAAACACATCCTAACACCGTCTTTTATGGAGATCTATAAATACACTCCTCACTATCCAAGAAAGAGATAGCTGGATAGCTGGAAACAAGATTAAGGTTACAGGTCATGACATGTTGAAGTGAGTGAGGTTTTACGCCGCTTTTAGCAATATTCCAGCAATATCACAGAAGGGGACACCAGAAATGCCTTCACACATTGTACCCATATCGGGGATCGAACCCGGGTCTTCGGCGTGACTAGCGAACGCTTTAACCACTAGGCTAACCGACCGCCCGATTGTTGAAAGTATACATCATTTAGGTTAGTATACGCTCTTCTATCTTAATAGTTTTTTTCTCTCATACGTACATGGAACAAAGGAAGTAGTTTAATCATCTTACGGCCCCGTTATTTTTTCATTGCTCGTTGGCGCCTGTGATAACTAGGTTAATGGAGGCACTAGTGGCTCAGTATTCTAAATAAATAACACCGACAAAACCCCTTCCATATTCATCAGTAATCTCTCCCAAACGCAGTGTCGATTGTACGATTCCGACCATATCATAAGCAAGTGTTCATAAATCACTATCAAATAGTGATGATACCGGGTGTTCGCGAAAAGATGAGCGTATCCTGCCCCAGCGGTGGCACCCGTCACAAACACATGCAAAGGCAAACTAATTGTGCACATGAAAAAACACGGGGGCATATGGTGAAAGTCAAAATAGGGAATTGCATCAGACATCATTTTTGTCACTAAGGCGTCAAAATTGGGAAATGTCATCCACATGTCTACCATAAAAGTTTTTTTTAAACTTTACCGGGGCATTGAATGCTGTAACCTTAATCAAACAACTTTGGAAACAACTTTAAGACACAATAGTTCGTTGCGCAGAGATGCGTCCTTTATTGGTGCCTAGATCCGCTGATGATTGACTCTAACCTTCGTCCTGAAGTAGATCCTCAGTGTGTCAGCTAAATAAGTGATAAAACGTGAAATATAACTGAAGCATCCATCAAACCCTCAAGATACCAGCATGTTAATAAATACATCGCTAAAGTTCTTTTCAAAGTCAAACAGAATCTGTGCAAGTATGTCAAACAAAATCCCAAGCTTTAGACAGCCTACAATAATCAGTTTCTTCTTCCGCAGCAACAGGTTGTTTTGTACACGGCCGTTTCCAACTCGAGTGCCCTGACTCCATGGTTTTATCAAATTTACGCTAACCACGTTTATACGATGCCGACATCCTCTTGAAATCAGGCACACACTTGTAACGAATCTTATCATGCATGCTGCAATGGATAGAAAATGTATGGCTCCCAGACTCGCCCATGCCAGGTTAGCCAGTGTGGATCTGATTACTGCCCCACTGACACAGGCTGAAACGAACATGCTATTAACTACTTGTCAAGTGCAATGAGCATGCCAAGGAAATCAATTACCATCATGTCGCTGCATTTTCCCGAGAAATGGCAATCGAAATGAGACCTAGAAATCATTACGAACTCTTACAGCCTTACACATGTCCTGGATACTGCTAGTTTATGATGAAAGATGGTGCGGTTGTTGGTGAATACTCTTTAACGCTGCTTCGAGAGTATTTAACCCAGTAACGGTGGTTTACATGTGTGAAATAAACATCAATTAAAAATGTCCCTACAATGACTTGGTGTGTTATTTAGAGAGCGTAATGTCATGAGTGAGTGAAAGTTGATAGACGCCGCAGTCACCATACATCATAGCACGAAAGCCTATAAGATAATAGTGTCTGGTCCAGGTAAATTAATTACAGAAGTAATGGCTCAAGTCATCACAATGAACCACAATGGAAACTTTAGGACCGCTTGATCACCGCTTGAAGTTCTTCTTCCTTGGCTCATATCATAGCAACTGTAATATTACGCTGCAGTCAGAAATAATCCATGTCATCACTATCATGGCGATGTACAAATGAGAGCGTACTACATATATGTAAGACATAACAGTTAGACATTACATAAATTACATATTGATGTCTGATTCATCCAGATTCGGATATAATCCAGTTATAGCCAGGTAAGGATTAGGTCTGTTACATGCAAGTCAGAAGGTTGAATGTTATTTGTTTGTTTGTTTGTTGTTTAACGCCGCAATCAGCAGTATTACAGCAATATGACGGCGGTCTGTAAATAACCGAGTCTGGACCAGACAATCCAGTGATTGACATTATGAGTATCGATCTACGCAATTGGGAAACGATGACATGCATCAACCAAGTCAGCGAGTCTGACCACCCGATCCCGTTAGTCGCCTTATACGACAAGCATAGTCGCCTTTTACGGCAAGCCTGGGTTGCTTAAGACCTATTGTACCCCGGATCGTCACGGGTATGACAGCATGAAGTATGATAGCATGATCCATGCAGTCGGGATACGATAACACAAAATTAGCTAGGTCGAACCTTCAAAACACCCGATCCTCATTTCATCGACACTTATATTATACCCAAAACTGGCACATTGTTTGTTGTCATGGAATTGCGTTTCAAACGCTTGCAACAGCATGTCAGTATGCAGATTACATTGTGGAAATATATAAAAGCGACAAAACCCTTTCCTTATTCAAAAGAAATCTCTGCATAAAGTAGAGTCCACAGTAAGACCACAACAATATCATGAGCATGTGTTTTTGAATAACTATCAAATCGTAATGATACCAAGTGTTTGCAATAAGGTGGCGTCCTTTACAAACACATGCAAAGGCAAATCAAATGTTCACCTGATAAAACACGGAAACATATGGTACAAGTCAAAATAGGAAATTGCATCGGACGTCATTCTTGTCACTGATCCATCAACTTTTGAAAGGTCCTCCACATGTCTACCATAAAACTTTTTGAAAGCTTTACTTAGGCCTTGAATGTCGTAACCTTGATCAAACAACTTCTGAGCAAGAGTCGCATAACTCTCATTGAAATCTTCGCAG